AGATTCACAGCGATCAAGGAAGGAATTTTGAGTCTCAAATATTCCAGGAAACTTGCCGAGTTATGGGTACTCGGAAAACACGAACAACTTCTTACCACCCACAATCTGATGGAATGGTAGAAAGATTTAATCAGACATTGGAAAGGTACCTAGCAAAAGTTGTGGAAAAACGGCAACGAGACTGGGACAGGCACATACAACCGTTTTTGTTGTCATATAGAAGCGCTGTTCACGAAAGTACATCAGTGACACCAGCTTTCGCAAACTTTTTTTTTTCAACTTTGGGAGAGAATTGCGGCTGCCTGCAGACCTGATCACCGGAATACCACCTGATGCCCCACGCAGTATAACCGATTATGCAAATGACTTGCAGAACAAAATGAATGACATTTATGAGCACGTCAGACAGACGGGCCAGCAAACGTCTGAGAAGATGAAAACACGGTATGACCGCAAAATGAACAACAAGGGGTTTGATGAAGGTTCACTAGTGTGATTACACAATCCAGTTCAAAGCAAAGGGAAATCTCCTAAGCTTCAAGCTAAATGGGACGGACCGTACCGGATCGTGACAAGGATCAATGATGTAACCTACCGGATACAGAAAGGTGCCAGAGGTACTCCTAAGATTGTCCATGTGGATCGACTAGCGCGTTATTATGGGGCCAATAATGCTCGGGACGAGCATGTCTTAGGAGGGGGCAGTGTTGCGCGCCACTATAAATGTCTTGTACATGGCAACACTAGTTACACTAGTGCCCTCTAGTGTCGAGTAAAAGAAAGTGTTGCGCGCCACTATTAATGTCTTGTACATGACAACACTAGTTACACTAGCGCCCTCTAGCGTCGAGTAGCAGAACTAGGAGAGTCGAGATCCTTCCAGAAATTTCGGGACCGATATGTACTCGAACATTCTAGATGTCGCTACAGTAGAAGGTTCTGGAAACTATTTGAGGCCCTATATAAGGCCGGTATAGACCACGACCGGGGCAGTATTGAATTGGCGATACAAGAGAATACTTCGAAGCGAAATAACAGAGAACTGTGTTTTATTATTAGTGTGATTTTAGATTGTAATTAGTGTTGTGTAATTAAAGTGTCAATTTTGGTAATTCAATCGGCAATTTTTAATTGTCTCGAATCCCAAGCTCGCCTGTGGAGAATGCAGTTTTCTCCTTGTCCTTAGGGTCAATTTCAACCTGCCAGTAGCCACTTTTCAGGTCCAGCGTACTAAACCACTTTACGTCTGTAAGCATGTCCAGCGTGTCATCAATTCTTGGCAAGGGATAGCTGTCCTTCTTCGTAACGTCGTTCAGGCGGCGGTAGTCAACACAAAACCGCATACTGCCATCCTTTTTCTTTACCAGCACCACAGGTGAACACCATGGACTAGATGAAGGTTCAATAACACCATCCTTCACCATTCCCTCAATAATGGTTTCCACTTCCTTTTCACGTGCTACAGGCAATCTTCTTGGCCGCTGACGAATAGACAATTCTTGTCCTGTGTTTGTGTTGAACTAAGCCAGTCTTTCCTATGTCAGCTTCGTTTGACGAGAAAACATTGGCGTACTTGAGTAACAACTTCTTCGCCTTGACTATTTCATTCGGGGAGAGAACGCTGCGACAGTATTCTAAAAGTGTGGTCCCTCTCGTTTGTCCATCCTTGTTGGGGGTCCCAGTCGATAGATATTCGCACCGACGCAACCAATCCACTTCTTCACTAGTACCAACCAATGTAAGGCACATTTTCTATAATCTGTTCCTGATCACAAAGGTTCAACACACGTACTCCTGAGATGTCGGTGGTTCTGACCAAGGTTCGAGCCACTTTCTATGGAAGGTCATTGTCTACCCTTTCCACGAGTACACAACGATGAGCTTGCCCAGGACTCCGAGGAAGACTAACCGGCACAATCGTTTCCGATCTCGGCGGAAGAACAATCTTCTTAAGGCTGTACACATTCCCTGGTAACGCCCCTTCCACGAAAAGTTCCCCTTGTCCACATTTCAAAACACCTTGCTTAACGTTTGATCACAACAATTCTTCCTCATAATGTCTAGGCCCAGGATGCAGTCGTCCATTATATCAGCCACGATGACATTATGCAGGTAGATCATGTTGCCTAGCTTCAACTCCATCTCCTTCTCTCCACGAACGGGTATGCGCTGACCGGTGGCTGTCACCAAATTAATGCGTTCGCGGTTGTATGCGGAGTCCCTAAGAAACTTATTTATAAGTTGGGAACTGACAACCGTGCGAGAGGCTCCAGTGTCTATGGTCAGTTTACACGGCTTTCCGTTGACCTCGCCCTTGATGATCAGGCTGTTTCCATCACGGGTTTTTGAGATCGAAATCCTTGGGGCTCTTTGAACATCCGCCAGCACCCGCCAGTTTCCCTGCTGCTGCTGGGCGGTGCTGTCAGCCACACTATATATATATAGATCGATCACCTTCCCTTTCTACAGTTCGTTTAGGGCAGCTGGATCGAAGATGGCCCCTTTCGCCACAGCCGTAGCACCTAGGGCTGTAGCCCTTATTGCGTTCCTTAACTGTAGCTGCTGCAACCTACCTGACGCGGTGGAAACGATGATCCTGCCGCACCGCTTCCACCTCCAGTGCATGGGTCAAGGCGTCCTTAAGCGTCTCGTGGTGCCCGAGCCTCACAGCAGCTCCGACTTCAAGGTCGCGGATGCCGTCGATGAATGTTTGCACCAGGTTCCCTACAATGAGCGCAGGTACAGACTGGTACGCTTTTCGAACCAGCTTCTCCACCTCAAGGGCCCACTGCTGCAGGTTTTCGTTACTGCGTTGCACGCGATCTTTGAGCTGCGCACGAAAGACGTGTTCCAGGTGAGCGTCGCCATATCTCGCCTCCAATGCCTCAAGGAGCTGCTCGTAAGTCACTTCCTTACCGAGAGCTTCCAGAACAGTTAAGGCCTGGTCGCGTAGGCCTAGGGTGAGAGCAGTCATGGCCTTGGTTTTATTCCAGCCATTCGCTTTCATGACAGCCTCGAACCGGATTTTGTAGGCAGACCAGGAAGAAGTCCCGTCGAACGGTGGCACTTTGAATCCACGTAGCGAAGGTGTTATAGCTACCACGGGAGCTGTAACTCCATCCCTAATTTTGAGGTCATTCAGCGTTTTCTTCACGTCAACCATCATGTTGTCAACCCGATTGTTCACTTGGTCGATTCGGGTTTCAGCTTCCTACAGGCGGTTGTCATGTTGAGCAACCCTATCCTTCACCTCCCTTATCTCTTTCCCGAAGGTAGCGTGAAGGTCCTTCATGAGAAGAAGCTGCTCTTCCAAACGACGGCTCTGTTCCTCCTGTTGGCGGGCCTGTTCCTCCTGTCCGCGCTGCAGCTGCTCTTCCCACCGACGGCCCTGTTCCTCCTGTCGGCGGGCCTGTTCCTCGTGTCGGCGAGCCTGATACTGCAACATCATCATCAGAGCACCTAAGTCAGGTGCTGCAGATGCAGGAGCTGCTGACGGGCCGGCCTCCGTGGTCAGCATCTGACCCTCCGACGTTTGCGGCGTTGCATTACCAAATCGTCTCTGTTCCGCCTCCAGCTGGCGTTGACTTCGGGTACGCATACCCTCCATGTCGTCCTTTGGTAAAATCGGCAGGATTTGATCCCACTTCTGACGCCAATTGTTACGAGCTTGCGGTTCGAGATAATTAAAAACTGCCGAGTGAATTATCAAAATTGACACAGTTAAAAAAATAAAACACAGTTCGCCGTTATTTCGCTTAGAAGTATTCTCTTGTATCGCCAATTCGGTCGTGGTCTATACTGGCCTTATATAGGGCCTGAGATAGTTTCCAGAACCTTCTACTGTAGCGACATCTAGAATGTTCGAGTACATATAGGTCCCGAAATTTCTGGAAGGATCTCGACTCTCCTAGTTCTGCTACTCGACACTAGAGGGCACTAGTGTAACTAGTGTTGCCATGTACAAGACATTAATAGTGGCGCGCAACACTTTCTTTTACTCGACACTAGAGGGCGCTAGTGTAACTAGTGTTGCCATGTACAAGACATTAATAGTGGCGCGCAACAATATTTTATAATTGTTTGTAATCCGGAATAGAGATAAAACGCTTGAGGACTTTAGCTCCTCCTTAATCCTCCACTCTGTAACCTGTTTGTTTTAACCTACGTCAAAAAGGAGGAGTATATTTTTTGTATGTATGTTTCGCGATATCTTGATGACTGACCCAATTTTTATCGTTCGTTTTTTGATTAAATAGAAAAATTTTTTAGAAAAAAATTCAACACCTATGGGTAGCAAATAAACAACTACTTTTTTAGCAATTTGAAGTCGGTATTTACTTTTTATTTAAATTTATAAATATTTTCATACATATTTATACCCATAGATACAGTTTCTAACGTCAGTTTGTAATAAATCTATGTTTGAATTTAGTATAATATGGCCTTTTTTATTTGTATTTTACATATACTAATCCTAAATATACGTTTTCATACATGTATGCTTTTCGGGTCTAAGCCTTGTAGTCAAGGCCACAAGCAATTTAAAATAATAACAAGTGTTGCCAGAATTATATAGTCAAGTCAACCGAAATAGAAATACTAGATTTTTGTGACTAGATTTTAAGTTGTTGCTTGTTGTTTGTTTTGAATTTTTCGTTTTCCTATATATAATGTTTCAAGACTTAGAATGATTTAAAATGGAAAGAATATTAACGAGTAACGATGAAATTTAAACTATAATAATCACTTCTACCATACATCTAAATATTTTAAAGTGCATTCCCATTGAGTTCAAACAAGAGGTTAGGTATACAATTTGAAACTACCTTTTAAATTATTATAATTAGTCTGAAAAATTTGTTAGTTATTTGAACTAATCAAATATCTATTAAATGGCTACATAAAATCTATTTCAATATGTCAGCTTTTATTATATTTTAACAACTTTACCCTTTCCTTAACATTATGTTCATAAATTTTGATCGTCGTTTTCAGACAAAATGCATATATTATGTACAATATGCAGTGATTTAGTAAATCAAGCTGAGAGTATATATGTGACGAAATGTGGCCACGTCTTTCATCATAACTGTTTAGCAAAATGGATTGCAAGGTATGTTTATTTTGTTAAGTCCAGTGTTTCCCAATTAGCACGCATATCCCCAAGGGTACGTTAGGCTACCTGAAAAGCTCTGCTCTTCACTTATTTGAGTTTAAAGTTTAAAGGCAATCTCTTGGCTACGGTAAAAAAAACTAGGCAAAAATTACAATCTCCAAATTGATGCCACGCGCGGGGCACAATTGTGGTCAGTATACTAATATATTATGAGTTTTTTATTACATAGGTATACAAATAAAATAACATACTTTTTTATACATAATCAGTCTTTATTGACTTTCAAAATACAAAAAAAAATTGTCGTCAGTCTCTTCCAACCATTAAACTATGCGTTGTGACTGTCTGTCAATTTGGACAACTAGATAAAACATTACAAGTTAAAATACCTAAAACAAGATAAATATGCAAATAAGTTATGAACATTGAACCACCATTAAAAGAAACAATAACCGGAAGATGTATTTTACACATACTATTTAAGTTAATACGGAAAAATCTCCTCTCTAATCTGCGTAGCACTAGGTACGTAATTACACGCGTGGAGCACTGGTGTGCCCCAGGGATGTGAAAATACTTAGACAGGACATATCTAAGCGCCGGCGCAGTCGATGCGAGACTGAAGGTTACGCGAAGATATTTGCAACAGCTACTTCAAAAATCAAAATCCTGGCGGTTATGTTTTGTGACCTACAGGTAAATATATGCAACTGGGGCACGCCTGTGCCCCGCGCGTGTAACGGAGTGTTAAGCTATATCTTGAAGTTGTATGCATCATAAATTAATTGGAAACTACTTTTAGTAAACTAGTTTTAGTCACTTATAATAATGTCTTCCAACGAATTTCGGTCTTTTTTCTTCCTTATTAAGAACAAGTTTAGCCATCTGCACAGGACAGGATTATAGTGTCAGAGTGTATATTCTCAAACACAGGCAGTTGCACTATTCCATATCTCTCATAGCCTGATAAGTAAAAAAATTTGTCAATAAATATGTAATTTTGCAATACATTATATTTCTAATTTTAGGTCAAAATCGTGTCCTCAATGCCGAAACAAAGTGACAGATCGGTGTATGTTTCGCCTATATCCCACTATATCAAATGAAAACACAGGGGATGATGTCACCACTCTACAATCAAGACTTGACGATGCGCAGTTACAGTTACGTGAACAAAAGACATTATGCAAGGAGAAGGAGGAGAGGCTGGCTGTAATTGATGCAGAGTTAAAGAAAAATGAGTAAGTAGAAGCAAAACGAATATATTGAATTTAAGTGTAATTTTTACCATGTTTATTACTACGAGGGTGGATTGAAAAGTACTCGGCCTAACACAGATCCATTCAATTCTAAAAATCAAATCTATCCACATTATTTAGTTCAGTTCAGTCTAGTTCATTGTGTGAAGTTCGAAACGTGTGCAATAATTAGTTGTGATTTTATAAATTTATTAACAAAGTAATCGGACATAATTTCCGCGAATGGAGCAAATCGAGCAGCGTGCCGTCATTAAGTACCTCCATAAGAAGGGCTATCATCAAAAGCCATCCATGATGACATGGTCAGTACATTAGGCGATTGTGCTCTGTCATATTCATCCGTCAAAAAATGGGTAGCAGAATTTAAGCGTGGTAGAGAGAGTGTGAAAGATGAACCCCGCTCTGGAAGGCCTTCGACGTCAACTACTGATGAAAATATTAAAAAAAGTACTTGATTTAATAATGGGAGACCGCAGATTAAAAATTAGAGAGATAGCCGAGATTATAGGCATCTCTTATGAACGAACTCAAAACATCATTGTCAACGAGTTGGGTTTCCACAAGGTGTCTGCGAGGTGGGTTCCGCGACTGCTTTCAGTTGAACAAAAAAGGACGCGATTGACTATTTCACGCGACTGTTTGGAGTTATTTGAAGCCGATGCAGATGATTTTTTGAATCGTTTTGTTACTATGGACGAAACATGGGTTCATTACTGTACACCGGAAACCAAACAACAATCAAAACAGTGGAGAAGACCTGGTTCACCACCCCCTAAAAAGGCTAAGTCGATTTTGTCGGCAAATAAGGTGTGATTATGATTGATTATCTTGAAAGGGGTCAGAATATAAACTCTGATTACTACTGCACCTTACTACGTCGTTTACGATAGGAAATAAAAGAAAAACGTCGAGGAATGCTCAGAAGAAAAGTCCTGTTTCATCAAGATAACGCCCGTGTTCACACGTCAGTACAGTCAATGGCTGAAATTCACAACTGTGGCTTTGAACTGTTACCGCATCCGCCGTATTCACCTGATCTGACACCATCAGACTTCTTTCTGTTCCCTAACCTAAAAAAGCACTTGGGAGGTCAAAGATTTTCGACAAACGACGAGGTCAAAGCAGCTGTAGACGCATATTTTGACTCTAAGGAAGAATCATTTTTTTTCAACGGTCTAAATCCTTGGAAGGGGAGGTGGCAAAAGTGTATTGAACTTGATGGTGATTATGTAGAAAAATAAAAATATAACTGATTTAGTATTTGTTTATTTTCTTGGTTAGGTCGAGTACTTTTCAATCCACCCTCGTATTAAGTCACATTCTTGTTTGTTTGTCATTCTGAGTAACTTAAAAATTTTAAATACAAGTCAAATTCAGATGACAATGTATTCAATGATAAAATAAATGTGGTAAAATTAAAAATAATTCACTAGCTTAACTTTTATAAGCCAGTGCTTGACAACAATCCTACCTGATGGCAAGTGAAGATGTGGCCAAATATGGTAAGTGCACTGATTTAGCTTAAAGCAAAGCCTAATTCACTCTTGTCTTGAACACCCAGTCTTTGGTGTAAATCTAGCCCTTTGCAGTCACCTCTTACTTAAAATGATGGATTCTCTTATGCCATCACACATGGCAGTTTTATATGGCTGTATAGAGAAGTTTGGCAATATAGGTAGGTTGGTTTATGAGTGAAAGAATTTTGTGATGTATAATATATCACTGGTCATCAAGCAAGCCATCTTATTTTAAATATTTAATTTCAGGGAACTCCTAAGAATGTGTGAAAAAAAGATAGTTGTCCGGGACTCTGCCGTTGCTGCATTAAAAGAGCAACTTGAATATGTGAAAATACAAAACAGGGAGACTCAACGCTTGAAAGAAGAGAATGAGAGTCTGAAGAAGAATATACAAACTATGAATGGGTAAAATTTTTTTTAATGCAATAAAATGACAAACAAACACACAGTCCACCAGATGGTAAGTGGTTGCTGAGGCCCATTAGACATTACAACAGCTATCCTCCATTACAAATCAAAATGCAGATGCGTTGTCACCCTTGAGGACTAAGATGCAATGCCTTGTTTCCAGTAAAAAGGGTCTCTGTTTCTCTGCCCTCACCATACGAAACACAGCGGCGTTCAGCTGCTATTTTACACTGGTATTCTGTGAGAGCATGGTCCTTCCCCAGTCGAGCGGACCCATTTCTTACAACTACAACTATACCACTAATATAGCTGCAGCTTGACTCTACCACGTCAAAAAAGTAACTGATTTTCGCTTATCATATAGATTTCTTAACTATTATAAATATATAATAATTATATATTATAATATATAAAAATTTGTTATATATTATATCTATCACATCTTATATTTTATTAACGTTCATACGCAAAATCTATTTTCAGTTCCCTAACAAAAGTTCCCTAAGATATGTTTCTTTCCAATCTATACATATAATAAAACTGTAAATAGCAGATGTCTGTACATTTAATATTTTTGTAATAAAAGTGATTGAGGGGTACTAAAAATAAGTAATTAAATACATTTCTACCATTTTTAGAATTTTCTGTCTATCTGTCTGTCTGTCTGTCTGTCTGTTTGTTTGTTAACGTATCACGTATAAAGTACTAGTTTATATCATAAGAATTGTTAAGGAAATTATAAAGTGTATCTTCGGGTTACATTTAGTCTTTATTTCATTAAAATCAGTTCATTCCATCAAAAGTTATGATAAATATTCTGAAGTATGGGTAGGGAAGTGTAGGTACGAATTTGCTCAACGGTGGCTTTGGTTGAGTCATCAAGTGCATTTTAAACTAATATCATATCATAAATCATAGTTAAATTATGTAAAATAATGATATAATTATGTATATCTAAAACGCAGTAAACAAAAGTATTAAAGAACGTATTAAATATATTATACAAAAATATATTAACCTTATTAACTAAAATCTGAAGCACAATAGTTAACCCATTTCTTCGATAGATGGTGGTGTTGTGAAAATGTAATGCAATTGCAATGTGTTTTTTTCCTGTAGATGAGTTTTCATATTTACTGCTAATCTTTATTATATTACTCGCTGCCCTACTGCGTGTTGACAAACTCAATTTATTCTTTACCGCCGAGTACTCTATGTGGTAAATCAAATTTTAAAAGAGCTATTAACAATTGCGTTGGTTTTGGCGAGAGTCAAACTTTATTTTTTGCTTACTGTGCAGGCACTGATTTATAAGTTCTCTAGCGTTTTATATAATGTATCAATCACGTCAATTAGTCTATTTTATTTTTAGAATTGATGTTAGCAGCGCCATCTCTCTTTAAATATATACATATAATAAAAATGATGATAACATGTTGTGTCTCTTTCTGTACATTGTATATTATATATTATATATTTTGGTGGCTAAAATCATTATGGGGAACTGAAAATAATTAAATAAGAACATTTTATAATTTTTAGAATTGTCTGTCTGTCTATTTGTCTGTTATTATATGAACGCATCACGTCTAAAGTAAACATCTTTTATTTTCAAAGAAATCGTTAAGAAAATCATAAAGCGTATCTTCGAGTTACATTTAATCTTTGTTTTATTAAAATTGGTTAATTCTATCGAAAGTAATGATTATTATTTTGAAATGTAGGTTCGAATTTGTTCAATGGCGCCATAAAATCTCAGATATAGTAATAAAAAGATTTGTGTGTAAAAAAAACGTTCCATAATAATTAATATATTTATACTTAAAACACAAAAAAAGATTTAAAAAGGATGTTTTCTCACACAAAGGACGTAATAGATGGAGTTGTACAAATTACAAACTTTTCTGAATTGCTGTGTTGAGATTTTTCACCGATGAATCGTATTGAGACTTACTGAAGAAATTTGTATCCATCGAAGCCATACAACGGAACCCGACCAAAAATAAAAAATTTGCAACGAAATGTCGTGATATTGTATTTATAATATACGCAAAATCAGTACTGCCATTTTAGCGCTTTGGGAACTAGATTTAGCGCTTTTTTGGAGTGTATAGCGCGCATTTCGAAATTTTAGCACCTAGCTTAATCCAGCTTGTCCAGCGCTTTTTGGTGTATTTAGCACACATTTCAATATTTTAGCGACTAGCGGGTTATTAACTCTTTTATAGCAGCACTGTTAGTCCACATTACCGATAATAATAATAATGACCTTTATTATTTTTTCCCACAAATAGTACATTGCAGTTTATCTTTTTCAAACATATTTTTTCCACAAAACAAAGAGCATGGGTGACGAGTACAAACTAGGATACCCTGTGCTATGGATCTCCTGGCTTCCCCTTTAGGATGATCAACTTGATTTTTTTACCGACGACTATAAGCGGGGAAATCCCCTTTATTAAAGTTTTCGTTCATGGTTTTGGCAACGCATTTATTTTGCTTTATTCAGTTTCAGTCAGTTGCTTAGAGCACAGCTAAGTTAAAAGTTACTTAGAAGTTATAACACAAAGAAACTGTGTAGCAACCGCAATCAGATGCTGACATCTGAAACTAAGTTGCGAAATACATTGCACTTTAAAACAATTAATGATATTTTTATTGTTCGTACAGTACTAACTACTGTTGACAGCAATTGCCATAATTATAAGTCGATGTCCTGCGAAGTATTGATACATCAAAAAAATATTGCCAGAAAAAAAACTTAATGTTGTTTTCTTTATCATGATTATATAAAAAAACACAAACTTTGTTTGTAGTTAATTTAGCGCGAAATCTAGGGCTTTTTTAAAGCGCTGTTTTCATGAAATCTAGCGCTTTTTGTGTTGCCCTAGAGCTGAATGAGTTTTTTTTTATCTGGCAGCACTGCCCAAAAACCCTCTATTAAGAAGTATCTTTCCTTTCAGTTTTAAGCGCGTTCAGTTTCCAGTTACAGTGAGCGTGTGTTATGCGATGACCGTAAATAAAGCGCAAGGTCAAACTTTACGCATTGTAGGAGTGTACCTCAGTACTAACTGTTTTGCACATGGCCAACTCTATGTTGCTTTTTCCCGCGTTAGTAGCCCCCGTAACCTTTTTGTGTACACCCCGGCTAAGCCTACTTCTAACGTCGTTTACACAGAAGCTCTATCATAAACGACTTAGAACTTTGATGATAATGATTTATTTAGTTACCACTTATTGATACAGTAATGAAATAAATCGTTTAATATTCTCTTACCTAAACGATAAATTCTTTATGTAAAATCTGTATACGCGAGCTACGCCGCGGGCACAGCTAGTTACATAATATATTTTTTGTATGATATAATGTTTGTTATATATATTATACAGATATATACATATTTATATTTAATATACATATTTATACAATTACTACATACAAATAACTATGAATATATTTAGCAATATATATATATATATATAACATGATTGATTTATGTAGGCTTCCTACATGAATCATTCATATTGACATTGTGGTCTTTAATAGGTGATTACATACCAACTTTTGAAACGCATACTTATTGGGAGCTTTTCAATGTCATCGGGCAAGAAGTTCCAAAGACGTTTAGCCTGAACTGTATAGGAGTTACCATAGAACTCGGTGAAATGAATATATTTTGTAGTTAAATAGAATTCTAATGAATCAAAATCTAAATTCATAGAATTTCTTATATGTCAGTTGTGTTATTTATATTAGTTATGTAATAATAATTAGTATTGTGTCAAAGTTATGTTATATTTTGATAGATTGTTTTTTAAAAAAACATATGGGGAAATTTTGTTTCACATGACAACCCTTTATTGCATGCAAACATACTTGCACCGTCGCCGTACTTTAAATATAGTTATCAGTTCTCACGAACGAACTTGTGAGACAATTACCCACTGAAGTTGTCGCTTTTAGGTGTCATTGTGCGCGCGCATCGTAAAAAATTCATTCTCATCATTTTCCCAAACGCCCCAAAAGAAGTATAACTTCAAAATAAAACATTATTTATGTTTATACTGCGAATGTCAAACACATAATAGTTTGTGATCAAACAGTTGCACAGGGCAGAGATTGTCACCAAATATTATATAATCATCACCAAAGATTATACAATCACCACATTTTTACGTTGTGCATTTTGTGTGATTACAAATGTTTGTTTTTCAATAGTCTGTGGAGCGAATGTAAAGGTGTTTATTTATACATTTTTATATATTATATACCTATATGTTTATATTAATGTTCAGTTGAAAGTGAAATACAGCTTGCTTAATAAATAAACTTAAACATTACGGTCGAATTTGGACCATTAGACTAACACTGGTACTTAATTATATTTTCAAATAATGTTTCTTTTTTGTAGCCTACAGAAAGTTCTAAATGCAACCACTGATGAAGTGGAGATGATGCTGCAAGGGTATTCAGATGTAAAGACCGTCGCGACTTTTGCTACAGCACTGAAAAGGTAAGCAAGAAGATGAAGATGTGAGAAGAGGAAGATGCTGCTGCCAATTTCCTGGTTTAGTTTCCCTCTGTCGCCTCTTACGACACACACGAGATGATATAGTGTAGTGGATATTCTTACACTGTCACTACACGGCTTATCCTAATCTATATAATAATGCTTATATCATATTTAATTATATATTACTTATGCCACCCTAGCCTATTTCTTAGAGAAAGAGATTGATAGTGATAGATTTATCTAGACATAAAATAACGACTAAAAGTGGCCGACTGAAATATTGTTGTCCGAAACTGCCGTAACCAAAATTTCGTTAATGGATGTTTTAGATCTTTACATATAGAAACGTTTGGAAACTTCGATAGTGTGATGTAGGCTTCTTCTGCTGTTGTTTGGTGCTTTTGAGAGCGCCGCAAATTACAATTTACATATTTATGTAATGTAAGTACTATTGACACTACTAATCTTAACAAATAAATAATTAAAGGTTCCACACATTCCTAGGGCACTCCGTGAATCTGAGTCCAAAAAAGCTGAAACCAGGGATCGCCTCCAAGCAGTGAAGCAACAACTTGCGGCTGAAAAGAATACAGTGGCCGACTTGCAGGCTAAGTTACGGTAAATAATTGTGGTGTTATGCATTGCTAAAATATTCATGTTCATGACTTTTACATTAATCTTGTCATAAATATTTAGGATTACGGTTCAAAAACCTATATTTAATTTCTATAGATTATTTAAATGGAATTAACAATTTTTTTGTTACATTATTAAGGATAATAAACGTTTAGCACGTTACACACTCTTGATAGTAATTATCTAATGCAGCCCATGGAAAACACCGCCACGCTTTTTCTTATAGAATAAGGTTAAAAAATTAGCACACAGCCCACCCGATTGTAAATGGATGCTGTAACTCATAGACATCTTCATCTATCTTCAATTAAGAATCAAAATGCAGGTGCTTTGTTACACAGACGGCCAAGATGGAGTGCCTCGTTATCAGTAAAAAGGACCTCCAGTTCTCTCACTTACCATACGAAACACAGCAACACTAAGCTGCTAACACTAACTTAAAGAAGTATAACTTCGCCTCCAGGTCCTTCAAAAGAGTTATTGCCAAGGCAAAGTCAGAGCACATAGGCAGAATTGGCGAGAAACTAGTTCGCCTTCCTTCGGGAACCCGTGCATTCTGGTCTCTCGCCAAGGCTGTCCAAGGCAATTTCTGTAAGCCATCACTACCATCTCTGCACAGGGAGGACGACTCACTGGCCCACGACGCAAAAGAGAAAGCCGACCTTTTAGGCTCCCTTTTTACGTCCAACTCGACTGTTGATGACGGGGGGAACACACCGCCGACCATCCCGCGGTGTGAGTGCTCCATGCCGGATGTGCTCACAGCGCTCGGTTCGCAGAGCACTCCTCTCCCTTGCCATCCACAAGTCACATCGAGTGGGCCTGACAGAATCCCCCCAATTGTGCTGAGGACGTGTGCTCCGGAGTTGGCACCGGTTCTAACGCGTCTTTTCCGGTACTCCTACTCCCTAGGCGTAGTCCCGAAATCATGGAAGATAGCTTTTGTCCACCCGATCCCTAAAAAAGGCGACTGCTCAGACCCGTCCAACTACAGGCCTATCGCCATCACCCCCTTGTTCTCCAAAATAATGGAATCCGTTATAAACTGCCACGTCATGTGGTACCTTGAGGATCACCAGCTGATTAGTGACCGCCAGTACGGTTTTCGTCGGGGTCGATCAGCTGGTGATGTTTTGGTCTACTTAACTCATAGATGGGCGGAGGCAGTAGAGTCCAAGGGGGAGGCATTGGCCGTTAGTTTGGACATCGCGAAGGCCTTCGATCGGGTTTGGCACAAAGCGCTTCTTTCGAAGCTCCCTTTCTATGGGCTTCCCGAGAAATTGTGCAATTGGATCACCAGCTTCCTTGCAGATCGAAGCATCAAGGTCGTTGTAGACGGTGCATGCTCCGACTAGAAGGCTATTAACGCTGGTATTCCACAAGGCTGTGTGCTATCACCAACGCTGTTTCTTCTGCATATCAATTATATGTTGCTAACTGGTAACATTAATTGCTATGCGGATGACAGCACTGGTGATGCTCTATACATCGGCCGTGCCAATATTTCTCCGGAAAACGTAGCCGAGTACCGAAACAAATTTGTGTCTGAAGTCGAGTCTTTGCTGAACAAAGTCTCGGATTGAGGGCGACTAAATCTAGTCTAATTTAATCCTCAAAAGACACAAGTTTGCGCGTTTACCGCTAAAAAAAACCCTTTGTCGTATCTCCACAGTTTCAAGGCACTCCCCTTCTTGCCTCAGCCAGTATAGAATCCTCGGAGTCGACATATCGAGTGACGTGCAGTTTCGTGGTCACTTGGAAGAGAAGGCCAAATTGGCCTCTAAAAAGCTTGGCGTGCTCAGCAGAGCGGGACAGTATTTCATGCTGGCACACCGCCTGCAACTTTACAAGGCGCACGTTCGGCCTCACATGGAATACTATTCCCATATCTCGGCAGGGGCTCCCCAGTGCCAGCTCCTTCCACTTGACCGCATCCAGCGCAGAGCGGCTCGAATCGTCGACGACCGAGTCCTTTCCGATCGGCTAGATTCATTGGCACTGCGAAGAGATGTTGCATCCCTTTGCATTTTCTTTCGCATCTACCACGGGGAGTGCTCTGAGGAATTGTTCGGATTAATCCCAGCCACCAAATTTCATGAACGCACATCGTGGCAGAACTCCCGATACCATCCACACCATCTGGATGATTGGCGGTCCACCACTGTGCGATTTAGAAGATGTTTTCTTCCTCGCACGACTTCCTTGTGGAATCGATTACCGTCAGCGATTTTTCCGGACCGATACGACTTAGGGACCTTCAAGAAAAGAGCGTACTCCTTTTTAAAACGCCGGCAACGCATCTGCGATTCCCTCCCTGGTGTTGCAGCTGTTCATGGGCGGCGGTAGTCACTTACCATCAGGTGAGCCGCATGCACGTTTACCCCCTCTCCTATAAAGAAAAAAAGTAAACGTCCGCAGGTCAGCAGAAGAGCAAATTGCCCAGTATCGTAGAGAAAAATCACAAGACAACAAACGTAACGCTGTTGAAGCGTTCGATGGAAACACTACCATAGCCGAGGAGACTGCGGTGAAGCTCCAGCGAATCGATCCACCGGAAACTAAAGCAGAGTGCGCTAGTAATATGAGTTTTGTAAGTACTATTTTATGTTTTTATTTATTAAAGGGCCACCCACAGTAGTTACAATGTGTGCATATTATACATACATAAACACTCACGCCTGTCACCCAGAGGGGTAGGCAGAGACTACGGACTTCCATTTGGCGCGATCCTCATACACCTCTCTCGCCTCTTTTACATCCATATATCTACGAATACACGCTCGTCTGTTAAGGGTACTCCTAATCTGGCCCATTTTTAATGTATCGCCGATTTGGTCGATAAACCTTCGTCTAGGGCGTCCCTTCCCGATCCTGCCGTTCACTTCTGCAACATAAATTTGCTTTGTCACTCTTTCCTCGTTCATTCTTTCTACATGACCAAACCACCGAAGCATTCCTTTCTTAATCCTTGTCACAACGTCATCTTGCAAACCACACTTTTCTTTTATCACATTATTTCTCACCCTGTCATTCAGATTCAGCCCTAGCATACACCTTAAGGGACGCATTTCTACAGCATTTATTCTACTCTCATGCTTCTTCTGCCAGACCCAACTTTCACTACCATACATTAAAGTAGGGACTAACACAGCATTATGAATTGCCATACGTGCCTTAGTTGACACATTCTGTGCATATTATAATAATAAATAAATGCTTTTTTCACCAATAACTTTTAACCAATAAATGTAAAGTTATTTATTAAGTTCAGTAATTTTATTGCTTCCTGTCTTTACTTTACATATTGTTATTATTCAACCACTAATTACAGGTTGTCACGTGATTAAATTAAATGAAATAGAATAAAAGTACAAAAATTTAAAGAAAAAGGCCAATGTATATTATATATAAAAATATAATACATAACAGAGGTGCATCAACCACTCAGAATAATTTTTCTTTTCTAATTATTTAAGCTGTATGCACATTTATCAGCACCATACGCGCCGTATTCTATAAAATGCGGTAGGTATCCGAATATTGAAGGAGGCACGCTGATTACGTCATATAACGCGGAGCGTACGACGCGTGCTGACACTCAGTGTTGTCTAATGTTGCCAACTTCGTAGATTTTTCACAAAAACTGGTGGGATCGACTTTCGTTTGGTAATATATTTTATATAGATTTTAGTTTATGTAGTATATATAACAATTCTTGAAATTTCTTGTATGTCAAATGCAAATATCTGAAAAACCGTTCATCATCATCCAATAAGTCTTTGAATAAAGTATAATATTCTCCATACAACTGCCTTTTTAAATTAATATTGTGAATCCAGAATCTTCTTTTTCTTCGAATTTTATTTTCTTGATCCCCTGTCAGTAGGCAGGCTGTTACAATTTCTATAGCGATCTGAGCGATCCCGAGCGATCAATGTCACTGTACCGTTTCACATCAGTGGTTGGAAAAAACTGCAATAGTTGTTGAAAATACAAAAGATTTTCGTATGGCGTGTACGTGCACGTGCCAATGTGCGAGGCCATCAGTAAATGCGGCGTATACGGCGCGTACGTTGAAGACAAATGTGCGTTCAGCTTTAAGGTGCCTTAAAAATGTCGAGATCTGTGTTATCAGTTGATTTTATATTATAGGTTTGTTTATAGTATAAGGGTGACGAACACACAGTTCACCTGATTGTAAGTGGTTGCTGTGGCCCATAGTCATCTACATATATTCGTCATTATGAATCAAAACGAAGATGCATTGTCACCCTTGGTTACTAAGATGGAATCCACGAGGGATTCCAGATTCAATTCCAGTAAAAAGGGTCTCCGGTTCTCTGCACTCACCATACGAAACACAGCAGCGTTTTGCTGCTATTCCACGCTGGTATTCTGTGAGAGCGTGGTCCTATCCCGGTACACGTCGAGCGGAAAACTGGCGATTTTTCCAAGATTTCTTTTATTTATATGTACATTACTAAACATTTAAAAAAGTTTTAAACGACTTAGGAGGTTCTTTCGTTTGGTATAGGTATATAGAGTGGAAAATACGAACGGGACTTGAAGGGAAAGTACATTAAATATTGAAGGTATTTTTTACTGAAAAGAAATATTCCTTTGTTTTTAAAAATGAAAATAACTACATTCAAACAGAAAGCTTACCTAAGCCATGAATCGAACTTACTAAAAATGCAAAAAACAAATAGGCTGTCACTATTTTAAACACACAATCGATAGGGTCTATGCTAAGAATAAAATCTCTCAAATAAACATTGTATATATCTTACAAAATTAAAAATTAAAAACTCCCCTACTAAAAACGTGTTTTTTTTGCATACATAGTATTAAATCTTGTACTTTGGGTTCCCCTTCATACGCGAGTCCAACTCGCACTTGGCCGGTTTTTTTATTGTATTTCTATATATATTTTTTATACATTGTCAGAGTAAACGCAAGCGAATACCCGAATATATCGTTTTCTCTTTTATCTAATAGTTTTTAAATAAAAGTTACTTAAAATATGTTTTACACATTTTTAATGTTTATTTCAGACCACTCTAGTGAATTCAATAGAAACATCGGATTCGCCCTACCTGAGGCTGAAGCAAAGCAACCTGGCCCTTGCCGCATTGCAGCAAAGGCATCCGGTTAACGTACCTGATAAAAGTCTTAAGGTAAATACATAGATTAGATAAAGGATGAGAAGTCTGCAGTGTGTGAAAATGTTGAAGATCGTCCCTACCATTACATTAGATATGATAGACAAATCCTCGCAAAAGAACACCGATTCCTACCAAGGATGATTCGCGAGGCTATTGAAATTTAAAAAAAACATCCTAATTTCAATAGAGAAGATGGATGGGTGCTGCCATCTGCTTGGGATACTATAATTAATAAAATTAAATCCAAACCCAAGCATACCTCTGCAAGACTTCAAGATACTATAAGCTCATTCTGCATATATCGGACCAAAAATTAATGTTCAAAAACTGAAGGTAGACATCGGGACGTCAAACACCTCAATTTAAATGTAAATTTCACAGTACGCGAGCAACCTGGGTTCGATTTCCGCCGGCACTAATGAAATTGATAATTGCAATTTTAAGTGCTGATTTACTACGCGCTCGGCGGTGAATGAAAACATCGTAAGGAAACCAGCATGTCTGAGAAATAAGTAAAAAAATATATTTCAAAGACATGTGAAGTTCGCCAACACGCATTGGGGCAGCGTGGCAAATATTTCCTTGTCCTGAAACCTCTCAGAAAGAAATAAGAGGAGGCTTGTGCCTAGCAGTGGCAGTGACATATATAGGCTGTAACTGTATTGTGCACTCGATTGACGATTTTTAATTAAATAAATAAGAAGCACTGACGCTCCGAGAAGTCTGCAATATTTCAAAATCTCCATGATCGTCGCAACCCATTAAATCAGATTTAATATACCACAAATCCTCCTGAAAGAAAACCGATTCCTACCAAGGATGATTCACAAGGCTATTGAAATTTAAAAAAAAAATTTAAATTCAATAGAAAAGTTGTCTGTCCATTATTAATAAAAAAATCAAAGACCAATCATACAACTACAAGATACTGCAAGCTCGTTCTGCGTAGATCAGACCAAAGATTATTATTTAAATGGTAAAGGTAGTAATAGCTAGTAGTAATAGCCATAATACAGCTGCAGTGTGGCTCCACCTACCAGTAATACTGGCTTATGGTATTTAAATTATTTTTTTCTTTTTCTTTAAAAGAAAACTAGATAAAAATACTATACTGATCTACCTCAAATCCTAAACTATACTGCCTTTTTAGTGCATAAGTTGGTATCCTTACTTATGTGCAACCTAGCCGTTAATTTTTTTCTTATTTTTATTTAATTCCTTTTCAGAGTTGTCTGGAAGATAGAACTATGTAATAATAAGACCGCATTCCCTCAATATTTGTTTATTTTTGTTATATTGATCTTTCCTTGGTGTACAATAAAGAGTATTGTAATGTACTACGTGTTCATTTCATGAATGCCGTTACCTCCCGCCGCGCTTCCTCATACCGCCCCTCAAGCGACGCCCTTATAGTACCAATAGCAACGCTGAAACGTATCTACGTCCGTATTTTGTGCTCCTGTGCGATCTCTAGTTTGTTACTGTTTTTGTTGTTGTTTTTTTACTGTTGATTTTTTGTTGCTGTTGACTTTTTACGTTCGTTAATTTGTGATAAACACAGAATGTAGTGATGACAGTGATACAGAAACGAAAGATTTTAATAAAATAACTGGTATCGAAGTTATGGATGCTTAAATATCTGCCTACCAGCTTTTGTTCGCGCCTTCGTAAATAATTCATTTAAAATGTATAATAAAAATATTTTATTTTATCGGACACAGTTTTCTATTCAGTGTTATTATTTTACTTTGCTAACTAAATAAATTATTTAATAATATTATCCGTTTTATCTACTTCCTTGCCCTCAATTTCTCTGTACCGGGCAACAAACTAAAAATCGAACTTCTTACAATTAAAACACTTACAGTAATCGTTTTGTCTACGGTACCGTCAGCTGTGACGTCATAACGGTCAACGACGGCGAACTCGAAATGAACGCGTAGTATTAGTAATGCATTTCCTTTAACCACTCTTGATAAGCTTCAAATGCTTGTGTTAGGATTGGGAGTTAGCGCTAAAAAGAGCCCCTTCGTCGTATCTCGTCAGTTTCAAGGCACTCCCCTTGTTGCCTCAGCCAGCATCGGAATCCTCGGCGTCGCCGTATCGAGTGACGTGCAGTTTCGTGGTCACTTGGAAGAGAAGGCCAAATTGGCCTCTAAAAAGCTTGGCGTGTTCAGCAGAGCGGGACAGTATTTCATGCCGGCACAACGCCTACAACTTAACATGGCGCAGGTTTGGCCTCACATGGAATACTGTTCCCATCTCTGGGCTGGGGCTCCCTAGTGCCAACTCCTTCCATTTGATAGCATCCAGCGCAGAGCGATTCGAATCGTCGGCGACCAAGCTCGTTCTTCGATCGGCTTGACTCACTTTTTTTTTATAGGATAGGGTGACAAACGAGCAAAGAGTCCACATGATGGTAAGTGATTGCTGTGGCCCTTAGACATCTACATTTATCCTTGTTTACGAATTAAAATGTAGATGCGTTGTCACCCGTGAGGACTAACATGGAATTCCAGTAAAAAGGCTCTCCGGTTTTCTACACTCACCATACGAAACACAGCAGTGTGTTAAGCTGCTATTTTACGCTGGTATTCTGAGAACGCTGCGCTTACTCACTGGCGCTGCGAAGAGATGTTGCATCTCTTTGCGTATTTTATCGCATCTACCACGGGGAGTGCTCTGAGGAATTGTTCGGAGTAATTCCAGCCGCTCAATTTCACCATCGCACATCGCGACAGATCTCGAGATATCATCCGTACCATCTGGATGATTGGCGATCCACTACTGTGCCATTTAGAAGAATTTTTCTGGAATTATTCTTAGCAATATTTCTGGACCGACAACTTCGGGACCTTCAAGAAAAGAGCTTACTCTTTTTTAAAAGGTCGGCAACGTTTCTGCGATTCCTCTGGTGTTGCAGTTGTTCATGGGCGGCGGTAGTCACTTACCATCACGTGAGGCGTATGCTCGTTTGCCCGCTCTCATATAAAAAATTAGAGTGGTTTACGCCAGTAATCGAATGCGGATTCGAACCCATGACCTTTTGACATCGTGCTCCGCACCATGCTATTAGGCTACTGTTGCTTTAATTTACTTATTATTTTTTCCATAAATTAATTTAATTTTTTTTTATTTGTTCCAGCCATCGGAGTTCGCGATCCTAAACTCCGCGCAAACCTCACTCTTCAAGAAATCCGACAACTTGTGCAACAAAGCAAATGCACACAAACTCAGCATCTTCCACAAGAAGGAGCCGGCAAAGGTTGACTTTGAGATGTTCGAACAAGTTTCCGATTTGGACGTCTCGTACGATGGCTTGGGTGGGCATTCTAAGCCAAGTCTGTTCCCAGTACCTTATACAAAATCAGCACTAAAAGCACTTATCCCAAGATTATCTGCCAAGCACAAGCTAAAAAGGCCCAACACTGCCGGCAGTCAAGACATTGGGAAAATGTTGGAGAAAATTAGAGAAAATAATGTTTGACACAGTACTAAAATACTTCTGGACAACTTGCTTAAACTTTAAAGAAAACGAAGATCCTCGAGCTATCCCCTTGCAAATCATAAGTTAACATGTCTCGAAGATTTCATACGCTTTTTTCTTTAACAGTTTCTCTTTATATACTGTTGGTTAAAGGCGTTTTTGAACGCAGCAAGAGGACTACATCTTCAATATTTGTCAGATTTGTCCACACAGCAAGTTCTTTTTGGCTATCTCCTCTTATACACAGTGGACTTGTGATGGACTGTAATGATGATGATGAATGCATAATTTTGAGTGTGAATTATTTATTGATTTTAGTTCTCACATTTGATTTTCATAGTTTTTACAGAACTCTCTTAAATGCATTAATTACGTACTTGGCGATTAAAATGATTTGATTTTGAGTTTATTCACTTGAATTGTAAATATGTGTAATATAAATCAATAACTTACGTACATATGTCCTTATAATTTGAAAGACTATTTACTATTTAAGTTTGCATAATAATTAATAAAATATACTTTTTCCGTTTTTGATGTTTTATTGTAATATTTTACCCAAATTAAAGTTACAGCCTTATACGACCGTAGTGGGACCTGTTAGACCGATTGACAATCAGCATTCGGAAACGTATGTTCTAGTACAGTGCCAAGATACGTTTCCTATTCGTTCATCGTTCGCGAACTACACAAGACTAGGGCACAGGCCCCCTTTCATTTCTGAGAGGGTTTTAGGGCAAGGAAATGTCCACTGCGTTGTAATAGCACCATCTACTACAATTTTACGTACGACTATGATAGTTAACCAATTTTAGTTCGATAAAATGACTACTTATAGAATGTAATATGAAGATGGCGCTATTAAAAATGAACTAGGTAGTAATTTTTGAAGCCCAATAACACTGAGGCCCAAAATAAACGCTAGCAGCGTTTATTTTCAATAACAATTCGTAAATTTTCATTTAAATAAATTTTTGTTGACTTATAAAACTTTGGTTTAATTAAAATAAAATTACATAAATCTATAATATATAAAATAATTTAAAATTAATAATTTTGTACAGCCGACTTCAATATAAGTTAAGAATAACTCAAAAACTATTGATCTTATGACCTTGATCAAATTCATATGGGACCACACTAGAAGTATCAGCTTTCATATAAAAAAAGAATCATCGAAATCGGTCCACCCAATAAAAAGTTATGAGGTAACACCATTGATATAAGAAAAAGAGGATAAGCAGTAAATTGACCAGATGGAAGTTAGCGTAGAACATTCTTTTTTTTAACTAAACTGTATGCCAATTAATTGCTCCATAAATGCTCCAGCAGAATCCGAAATTGCTCCACCTCTATTGTTATTAGTTATTTTATAATTAATTTTAAAAAAAATTAAGTATCAAAAATTTAATTTTGCTATAAAGTATTAAATATCTACTTTTTTAAATTAAACTGTATGCCAATTAATTGCTCCTTAAATGCTCCAGCAGAATCCGAAATTGCTCCACCTCTATTGTAATTAGTTAATTTATAATTAATTTAAAAAAAAATTTAAGTATCGACAATTCAATTTTGCTATTAAACATAAAATATCTACGTTTTAAAATTAAACTGTATGCCAATTATTCGCTCCTTAAATGCTCCAGCAGAATCCGAATTTGCTCCACCTCTATTGCTATTAGTTAATTTATAAATAATTAAAAAAAAATTTAAGTATCGAAAATTTAATTTTGCTATAAAACAGAAAATATATATTTCTTAAAATTAATCTGTATGCCAATTATTTGCTCTTTTAATTCTCCAGCAGAATCCGAAATTGCTATACCTCTATTGCTATTAGTTAATTTATAATAAATTTTTAAAAAAATAACCAGATGGAAGTTAGCGTAGAACATTATTTTTTTTTAATTAAATTGTATACCAATTAATTGCTCCTTAAATGCTCCAGCAGAATCCGAATTTGCTCCACCTCTATTGTTATTAGTTAATTTATAATTAATTTTTAAAAAATAACCAGAAGGAAGTTAGCGTAGAACATTATTTTTTTTAATTAAATTGTATACCAATTAATTGCTCCTTAAATGCTCCAGCAGAATCCGAAATTGCTCCACCTCTATTGTTATTAGTTATTTTATAATTAATTTAAAAAAAAAAGTTAAGTATCAAAAATTTAATTTTGCTATAAAGTATAAAATATCTACTTTTTTAAATTAAACTCTATGCCAATTAATTGCTCGTTAAATGCTCCAGCAGAATCCGAATTTGCTCCACCTCTATTGCTATTAGTTAATTTATAATTAATTTACAAAAAAATTAAGTATGAAAATTTTATTTTGCTATAAAACAGAAAATATCTACTTTTTAAAATTAAACTGTATGCCAATTAATTGCTCCTTAAATGCTCCAGCAGAATCTGAATTTGCTCCACCTCTATTGCTATTAGTTAATTTATAATTAATTTACAAAAAAATTAAGTATGAAAATTTTATTTTGCTATAAAACAGAAAATATCTACTTTTTAAAATTAAACTGTATGCCAATTAATTGCTCCTTAAATGCTCCAGCAGACTCTGAAATTGCTCCATCTCTAGTGCTATTAGTTAATTTATAATTAATTTTGAGATAGTGATCCCATTTGAGTAATAGCGCTATCATAAATAGAATGTAGTAACATTCTATGGTTAAAGTCATTTAATCGAACAAAAATTGATTGACTCTCAAGGTGGTACTATTCTACATAGATACTAAATGGCATAAACCCAAAAAAATTATATTGATGGGTGAGTTTTTAAATTATGGATTCTTATGAATGGATTAGACAAACATCTTAATAATATTTTTGTGTTTGTGCCATCTAGCGTCTTTTCTACGTACCACCATGAGAGTTAACCAATTTTGATTTGATAAAATGACTACTTATAGAAAGAAAGAAATAGATGGTGCTATTAAAAAAAATACGTATATAATAGATAGTAATTACCTAATTAACAAACAAAACAGATATGTCTCTTCTTAAGATCGAATATAATCCACCCGACCACTGTTGGGTTAACTTTTAGGTTTTTCCAAAATTGATTTGTAATGTGATTGCGGATCGATATCGATATTTATAAATATATATTATATTTAGCTTATATATATATAGCTATATAGCTTTATATTTATATATTTTTATTAATTTTCTCAGTGTTAAATTTAAAAAAAGTATAAATTATATTAATAGTTATATATATTATGTAAGTTATTTATATGCATTACTTATATAAATATATTACAAAAGCGTTACAAAAAACAGTGTGTGACGTGAATACACACGACAGAAGTGAAACTTTTGTATTACAGGGAAACATTTCAATTATTCATTAATGACTTTTGAATAACATAGATGGTGTGTATCATTCATTTATTTACATAAAATTATATACATATGTGTCACAGTGCATCATCTTCTTCGATTTTAAGAAGAGACATATCTGTTTTGTTTGTTAATTAGGTAATTACTATCTATTATATACGTAATTTTTTTAATCGCACCATCTATTTCTTTCTTTCTATAAGTAGTCATTTTATCAAATCAAAATTGGTTAACTCTCATGGTGGTACGTAGAAAAGACGCTAGATGGCACAAACACAAAAATATTATTAAGATGTTTGTCTAATCCATTCATAAGAATCCATAATTTAAAAACTCACCCATCAATATAATTTTTTTGGATTTATGCCATTTAGCATCTATTATACGTACCACTTTTGAGAGTCAATCAATTTTTATTCGATAAAATGACTTTTACTATAGAATGTTACTACATTCTATTGATGATGGCGCTATTACTCAAATGGGATCACTCTTTCTAAAACTAATTATAAATTAACTAATAACAATAGAGGTGGAGCAATTTCGGATTCTACTGGAGCATTTAAGGAGCAATTAATTGGTATACAATTTAATTTAAAAAAATAATGTTCTACACTAACTTCCTTCTGGTTATTTTTTTAAAAATTAATTATAAATTAACTAATAACAATAGAGGTGGAGCAATTTCGGATTTTGCTGGAGCATTTAACGAGCAATTAATTGGTATACAGTTTAATTAAAAAAAAATAATGTTCTACGCTAACTTCCTTCTGGTTATTTTTTTAAAAATTAATTATAAATTAACTAATAACAATAGAGGTGGAGCAATTTCGGATTCTGCTGGAGCATTTAAGGAGCAATTAATTGGTATACAATTTAATTAAAAAAAATAATGTTCTACGCTAACTTCCTTCTGGTTATTTTTTTAAAAATTAATTATAAATTAACTAATAACAATAGAGGTGGAGCAATTTCGGATTCTGCTGGAGCATTTAAGGAGCAATTAATTGGTATACAATTTAATTTAAATAAAATGTTCTACGCTAACTTCCTTCTGGTTATTTTTTAAAAAAATTATTATAAATTAACTAATAGCAATAGAGGTATATTAATTTCGGATTCAGCTGGAGCATTTAAAGAGCAAATAATTGGCATACAGTTTAATTTTAAGAAATATATATTTTCTGTTTTATAGCAAAATTAAATTTTCGATACTTAAATTATTTTAAAATTATTTATAAATTAACTAATAGCAATAGAGGTGGAGCAAATTCGGATTCTGCTGGAGCATTTAAGGAGCAAATAATTGGCATACAGTTTAATTTTAAAACGTAGATATTTTATGTTTTATAGCAAAATTGAATTGTCGATACTTAATTTTTTTTTAAATTAATTATAAATTAACTAATTACAACAGAGGTGGAGCAATTTCGGATTCTGCTGGAGCATTTAAGGAGCAATTAATTGGCTTACAGTTTAATTTAAAAAAAGTAGATATTTTATACTTTATAGCAAAATTAAATTTTTGATACTTAATTTTTTTTAAATTAATTATAAAATAACTAATTACAATAGAGGTGGAGCAATTTCGGATTCTGCTAGAGCATTTATGGAGCAATTAATTGGCATACAGTTTAATTTAAAA